CAAATGCGAGTAACGGTGATTTTATCGGTGTTTTGTGGCGACGACGACGCAGAAGAAGACCGTCACTCAATTTCATTCCGAAATGCTTCTCCACGACAATCGAACAATGAACGTCTCAACGCAATTAAGGTTTTTACCGGGACATTTTAATAGTTTTAACGTAATCGATTTGCAGTTATGTCGTAACTATAACCTAAAAAAATTATTATTTTAATGACATTTTAGGTTATGTTGATTTAACCTCAAATTTTTGACATAAAATTTTTTTTTTTATTAATTAAATTTAAAATAATTACTAATAATTTTCAAGCCACGTATTGCATCACGTTATGTCTCAACATACAATCAAAATGCGTTGTAAATTATATTTTGAATATATAAGTTATGGGGTGTTAGGATAGGCAACTCAATATACAGCATAATTTCTAACGAACTTGTCAATGTATAAGAACGACATAATTAAAAATAGCAATTTACGGTTATAAATTAATGTATCTTTGAAAATAATAATAAAGTTTAGCGCTTAAACTTGAAACTTTAAAATTAAATTTAAATCGCTTTGTATTAGCGCCCTCACTCGGGGTATTCGGCAAACATAAAATCTTGGTGAGGTTCATACCAACGTTAAATAAAAATAATCGATTTAAAACCATAATTATTAATAAATTTGGGTTAAATTAATTAAAATCGCGATTATAAATTTGAATGTTAAATGTCAATTTCATTTTCAATCTGTCAAATTTGACATTCACTTTATCAATTTTGAGTGATTAGATTGAAAAATAATGAATCCAAATTACACAAGTGACATTTCCAGCTCAACCTGTCACTTTAATGTTTCGAATTTGACACATGACAATGACAAGTTGTGTACTAAAATAATCATATCTTGTCACTAAATTGACATTTAATTATTAATTTAAAGTTTAATTCCCAATTTGAATGTTAAATGTCAATTTAATTTTCAACCTGTCAAATTTAATATTCACTTAATAACTTAATATGAAATATGTCGATGTAAAAATCAAATTTGAGTGATTGAAAGGAAAAATAATTGAATCCAAATTACATAAGTGACATTTCCAGCTCAATCTGTCACTTTAATGATTAAACTGTCAAATTTGACACATAACAATGACAAGTTGTGTACTAAAATAATCATATCTTGTCACTAAATTGACATTTAATTATTAATTTGAAGTCTAATTTCCCAATTTGAGTGTTAAATGTCAATTTTATTTTCAACCTGTCAAATTTGACATTCGCTTAATAATTTAATATGCAATATGTAGATGTAAAAATCAAATTTGAGAGATTGGAAGGAAAAATAATTGAATCCGAATTACATAAGTGACATTTCCAGCTCAATCTGTCACTTTAATGCTTAAATTGTCAAATTTGACACATTACAATGACAAGTTGTGTACTAAAATAATCATATCTTGTCACTAAATTGACATTTAATTATTAATTTAAAGTTTAATTCCCAATTTGAATGTTAAATGTCAATTTAATTTTCAACCTGTCAAATTTAATATTCACTTAATAACTTAATATGAAATATGTCGATGTAAAAATCAAATTTGAGTGATTGAAAGGAAAAATAATTGTATCCAAATTACATAAGTGACATTTCCAACACAATCTGTCACTTTAATGTTTCGAATTTGACACATGACAATGACAAGTTGTGTACTAAAATAATCATATCTTGTCATTAAATTGACATTTAATTACTAATTTAAAGTTTAATTCCCAATTTGAATGTTAAATGTCAATTTAATTTTCAACCTGTCAAATTTGACATTCACTTAATAACTTAATATGCAATATGTCGATGTAAAAATCAAATTTGAGTGATTAGAAGGAAAAAATAATTGAATCCAAATTACATAAGTGAGGTTCATACCAACGTTAAATAAAAATAATCGATTTAAAACCATAATTATTAATAAATTTGGGTTAAATTAATTAAAATCGCGATTATAAATTTGAATGTTAAATGTCAATTTCATTTTCAATCTGTCAAATTTGACATTCACTTTATCAATTTTGAGTGATTAGATTGAAAAATAATGAATCAGCTCAACCTGTCACTTTCATGATTAAACTGTCAAATTTGACACATAACAATGATAAGTTGTGTACTAAAATAATCGTATCTTGTCATTAAATTGACATTTCATTATTAATTTGAAGTATAATTTCCCAATTTGAGTGTTAAATGTCAATTTTATTTTCAACCTGTCAAATTTGACATTCGCTTAATAATTTAATATGCAATATGTCGATGTAAAAATCAAATTTGAGTGATTGGAAGGAAAAATAATTGAATCCAAATTACATAAGTGACATTTCCAACCTAATCTGTCACTTTAATGTTTAAACTGTCAAATTTGACACATGACAATGACAGGTTGTGTACTAAAATAATCGTATCTTGTCATCAAATTGACATTTAATTATTAATTTGAAGTTTAATTCCCAATTTGAATTTTAAATGTCAATTTTATTTTCAACCTGTCAAATTTGACATTAACTTAACAACTTAATGTGAAATATGTCGATGTAAAAATCAAATTTGAATGATTGGAAGGAAAAATAATTGTATCCAAATTACATCAGTGACATTTGCAACTCAATCTGTCACTTTAATATTTAAACTGTCAAATTTGACATATGACAATGTCAAGTTGTGCATTAAAATAATCATATTTCGTCATCAAATTGACATTTAATTATTAATTTGAAGTTTAATTCTCAATTTGAATGTTAAATGTCAATTTTATTTTCAACCTGTCAAATTTGACATTAACTCAATATGAAATATGTCGATGTAAAAATCAAATTTGAGTGATTGGAAGGAAAAATAATTGTATCAAAATTACATAAGTGACATTTCCAACACAATTTGTCACTTTAATGTTTAAACTGTCAAATTTGATACATAACAATGACAAGTTATGTACTAAAATAATTGTATTTTGTCATTAGATTGACATTTAATTAATAATTTAAAGTTTAATTCTCAATTTGAATGTCAAATGTCAAATTTATCTTCAACCTGTCAAATTTGACATTCACCTAAAATCTTAATATTGAATGTGCCGATATAAAACATCAAATTTGATAAAAAAATAGTCGTATTTTGATCAGAAAATGACATTTCTAACTTAATCTGTCAAATTTGACACAAACTGTCAAAATGATTTTTAAATAAGCGTATCTTGGTTGTTTTTGAAGATAAACTCGTCGTGTTTGGGCTCATTTTAATGGATTTCTCGTCGCGATTACGAATTTTGTTATATACAGCCTGATTCAGAGTAAGCGCCTTATTTTTTTTTAGCCACACTATGGGTACTACTTTCAAAATAAAAGATT